ATGTTTTTAAAAGATAAAAAACATCAACAGCATGGTGGCAGAGTGGAAAATAATAGAAGGGGCTTGAGGAGACTAGAAATTCCAGTTTGTATGAGGGCACACAGTGCTGTAATACAGAGTCCATACCTCTCTGCAGTCCCTGGATGTGAATTCCCAGGCTGCACCCACACCTGAGCAGAGCAGAGGCTGGGCCTTATTAGGTTCTGGCTGCTGGCTGGATCGCAGTTGCAGGGTGTGAGTGTCAGTTACTGGTGTTTCCCAGCCTTCTTCACACTTTAGTAATCAGAGGTGGAAGTCCAGCCTCGTTTGTAGCTGTTGTTCTTCTGCCCCAGGAAGGCAGGAAGCGTAGATTTTTGTATTATTTGCCTCCACTTCTCCCTCCCGCAGCGTGCCACTGTGCACATGTGGTTTCTGTTTTCCTAAGCCATGGCAAAGCATAAGCAACTGCCCATTGTAAACACACCTCTGTGTATCCACACATACCTGGCTGCACTGGATTGACCAATTTTCTGCTTCTAGGTAGTGGCTGATCTAGAATGGAGGGGGAGAATTAAAAAAAAAGACCAAGCAGCAGATGGCCCCCTGAATGTTGTAAACCATGTTTCTCTAAGCACGGTTTCTCAACACTCTTGATATTTGGGCCAAATAATAATCTGTGGGGTTGTTTAGTGTATTGTAGGATATTTAGCAGCACCTCTGCCCGCTAGATGCTAGAAGCACCCTCCACCCCAGCGTGACAACCAGAAATGCCTCCAGATGTTGCCACATGCCCCTAGTTCAGAACCATATTTGTAAAGCTTGGTAGCAACTTTTTATTTCGTATGCTGCTTTGTGTGTTTTGTTGCTAAACTTGAAATAAACATATTAATTTTTAGGTAATAAATTTCAAAAAATGTAACAGGGACACTCAACCTCTCTGTTGGTAATTATACCCATGGGACTATCATTTGCAGGCCTTAAAATTCTACTTGGGCAGTTAAAACAACTTAAGACGACTCTCTTAGAAGCTTTCTTGAAATTTAAACACCATCATGACACATTTCCTATGTCAATAACTTGGCTTGCCTACTCAAGTTCTTTAAGCATCAGTTTTGTCTAGCTTGGTTTTTTTTTCTTTAGAGACCGTGTTGGTCATGTGTGAATTGCCCATCTTTTTACAATCTCTGCTCAATGAGTTTATACAAGGAGTCTCTGGTAAGAGACAGACGTGGGAGTGGAAATATTTCTCCTTAACCACAGGAAGGGATTTTTTACAATGCCTTTAGCTGCGGATACCCAGGGTACCTCACCCGGCAGGAAGGAGAGGGAACTGTACTTGAGCTAAACACTTTCATAAACTACTTCTCATGGAAAAGACAATCCAAAATAATGGAAATTTCTTTAAAATATCCATGTGTCTTGAGATAGAAGAAAGCCCTTTAGTTTAAGAAAAATGCACTTAAAATTAAAATACCTTGTGACCCAAAAATAGTTTTAGACATACATGTGCAAGTGTTTTGAAGTGGAGTGAACTTCTAGAGTGTGGTGTACTTTATTATATAGTCTTATGCATTTACATCGATGATCAAAGAACATTGTATCTATGCAGACGGAGATTCCGAAAAGGCTGATCAATTTTAGGTGAGCCACAGCAATGACCTCTGAAGGATCTAGGAACCTAAAGAGGATCTGCCTTTTATTTAATAGAAATCTTAAAAGCAAAAATAACTGGCATGGCTGGAATGTCAATTGTTTAAAAAAAGAGAGCGAGGAAAAAACAAAACCTGTTGTGTGGTCAGGCAGTTGTTTTTATCATCTAGGCATAATTTTTAACCAAAGAAACAAAACAATCAATAATGTTATAAAAGCCACTTATATTCCAATCTTGAAACAACTGCTTTATGCCAAAAAATTCCTGTTGCTACCTCCGTTAGTGACTGAGTAATTCAATATGTCCTGAATGTCAACATGTTTTTATTACTCAGCTAAAGTTGGCTTTGCTGGATTAAATGTCATTTAAAATGATCAATCGGCAGCTTGTTTGGGGTTGTTTTCACATTTATGAAAGGAAAAAGTTTGCCAGATACAAATGTTCTTGAAGCTTGTAGGGAAATGGTGTTCTCTGGTAAGCCCTGCCCTTCTTTTGCCATCTAACAAGTAGATAATATTCTAGGTCATTCATGGTAGCCCAGTGCTGGTTAAGCCCTTACATGAAGAAATGGTCCAGTTGACGTTTCACTGTTTCATGAGAAGTCGAACATACCATGTGACAGTAAGAGAGAAGCAGCAGAAACACTGAAAACCCCCGTGCTTGTGGATGGAGAACTAGCCACTTTGTTTCAACTCCACAGTGGGCCTCTGAGTGGAGTGCCTTCTGCCTGGAGTCACCCACCTTCATATGGGCAAAATGTCTTTATATCAAACTGTAAAAGACAACCAGGTAGTTTCTTAATTGCTGAAATCTATTAAAATACACACACTAGAAAATCACATTCCCAATCCAGAGGAATTCAGTGGTGTTGTCAGCCTATTTGAAGTGAAAATGATTGTAAACCTATAAAGAGATATGGGAGGGGTTACACACAATCTGCTTTTGTTCCTCTTAATTTACTGGCTTTTTTTCCCCCTAGAGGTATGGTCTTACTCGGCCAGTTGCGGTGCTTCACGCCTGTGATTCCAGCACTTTGAGAGGCTGAGGCGGGAGGATCACAAGGTCAGGAGATCAAGACCATCCTGGCTAACACAGTGAAACCCTGTCTCTACTAAAAATACAAAAAATCAGCCAGGCATGGTGGCAGGTCCCTGTAATCCCAGCTACTAGGGAGGCTGAGGCAGGAGAATGACTTGAACCCAGGAGGCAGGGGTTGCAGTGAGCAGAGGTCACACCACTGCACTCCAGCCTGGGTGACAGAGTGAAACTCCATCTCAAAAAAACAGAGAGAGAGATGGTCTCACTCTGTCACTCTACCGCCCAGGCTGAGTGCAGTGGGTTGATCATGGCTCACTGCAGCCCCAAACCCCTGGGCTCAAGAAGTTCTCCCACCTCAGCCTCCCAACTAGCTGGGATTGCAGGCATGTACTACCATGTCCGGATAATTTTTCAAATTTTTTGGTGGAGATAAGGTCTCGTTATGTTGCCTAGGCTGGTCTTGAACTCCTGGGCTTTCAAGCAATCCTGCCACCTCTGCCTCCCAAAGCAATGGGATTATAGGTATAAGCCAGCACACCCAGCCCTCATTTGCAGGCACTTTATGTGATAATATTTGATTTTGTCAATGTTTTCCAGTTGGAAGAGACTGTGGAAAATTAAAACGCTATTTGATGGTAGGACACAAACTGGAATATGAAGCCACAGCTGAGTTCTGGTCTTAGTCTTTTTGGGATGCTCTAGCAACCTGCCATAGACTGGGAAGTTTCTCTGAGACTAGAAATTGCATCGGGAAGTGTGTCCTAGTATGGGCCCTGGGGTCATGCAGAGCCAAGGATCCTGTGTGTCATTCATAAGCTGCGTCTTTCTGAGTAAATCATCAAACCCTCTAGCTGCAGCTTCCTGGTCTATAAAATAGGAATCGAAACAGCACCTGCCTCATAAGGCGGCATAAGGGTCAGATGTAAAACCAGGCTTGTAGAAGCCACAGCTCGGTGCCTACAAATACCACCCACTAAATACCATAGTTTTTATTACTTTCTCTTCTCTCACATTATCACTAATACAATAATCCTGTAAAGTGAGTGAGTGCTGCTCTTCCCATTTCGTGAGGCAACAGAACCTCAGGAAGATTAAGAAACGTGTCCAGGGTGGCCCGACTGAATTCCCCTTGTCCGTATAACCCCAGAGAGGGGAGTATGTCTTTGTGATGCAGATATGCTGGCTGTAATATATTCCAAGTCTCAGTTGGACACTCCCCTTTCAAATGTGCCAGGCCCAAGCCTCGCCCAAAGTGAAAAAGAGAGAATGTTGTAGAGCAGGAGTCTGGAGCACAAACCCCAGTGACCTCACACAGGTTACTTCTACCTCTCTGAGGATCAGAAACACAGATAAAGTGCCGAGTTCATACTTGGCATTCAATAATTGATCTTCCATCACCAGCCATTCTGACGAGTGCCTATAAAAAGTGGGCATCTCCAGAATCAGGCAGTGAACACCTGGAAATTGGTGCTGCTTCTTCTCATCTGGAGGCAAATCAACCTTTAACTAAACCTAGAAGGCACATATCTGTCTCCAGCCACCTCTCCAGGTTCTGCTGGAGGGCAACCACACACCTTCATAGCACACATCCAGAAAGTAGTAGAAAGGGGAAGGTGTGTATCATGTCTTTTTTTTTTTGAGATGAAGTCTTGCTCTGTCACTCAGGCTAGAGTGCAATGGCACGATCTCGGCTCACTGCAACCTCTGCCTCCCGGATTCAAGCAATTCTCCTCCCTCACCTCCCGAGTAGCTAGGCCTACAGGCGCACACCACCATACCCAGCTAATTTTTTGTATTTTTAGTAGAGATGGGTTTTTGCCATGTTGGCCAGGCTGGTCTCGAACTCCTGGCCTCAAGTCATCCACCTGCCTCGGCCTCCCAAAGTGCTGGGATTTCAGGCGTGAGCCACCACGCCCGGCCATGTCTTCTCTTTAAATTTACCAATCCACACCCAAAAGCCAAGGCCCAACACTATGCCTCGGCCGTATTACATCACTTCACACTTAATATCCATCGCCTGACTGACTGTTCAAACATCAGTTCTGCAAATGGAGAAAGTGACTTTTGCACTGGATCCCTTTCTACCATGATCCACTATACAAAACACTGTTTAAAGGCCTCCAACGTGTGGTGGAATGAGAATATCTGTAATTCTTTTTAAAACCACGCTAGCCTCGGTTCCCACAGTCCGAGTCACCACGCCACATAGTTTTTCTTTTCCCAGAGTTTTTCACTCCTCACTCCTTTTTGCTGTGTTTTAGCCTCCCCCACCCTTCCCGTCTTTATCCATCCATCTCCCACCAACAACAGGATAATCTTTATGCCCCACCGGTTTTTACCACACAGCTCTCTTTGGAGCATCAGGACCCTCTTTCCACCCATTTCTCCTTGCAGCCTGCATTTAACACACTTTCAGAGCCCATTCATTCACAGTTAGAGCTTGCTTCCCGTCTTTCACATGGGCTCTGCCCAGGTTTAAGTTTGAGTTACAACCATGGACCTCGTGGTCACTGTGTCCTCATCTGTGGAGGGAGGCTGTCACCTGGATCATCTCTGTGGCCTCCATCCATCAAAGGTCACACAACAGGACCTCCCTCCATCTCTCTGGGCCTTCATTTCTTCCCTGTGAAATAAGGAAGTTAGACAGTCAGCCCAAGCTAGGCAGAAGCAGTTGCTGTATTATTTTCTGATTCTTCTGGTTAGTGCCTCAACAAGAAACATTTTCAACAGTGTTTTCTTGCCCTTTTCCTCTGTAGACTGTAGACTGCTTTGGGATTACGTCTATCAGTTGCTTTCTGACAGCCGGTACGAAAACTTCATCCGATGGGAGGACAAAGAATCCAAAATATTCCGGATAGTGGATCCCAACGGACTGGCTCGCCTGTGGGGAAACCATAAGGTAAAAGGGCAGACGTCATGCGAAAATGACGTCTTTATCCCTGGATTGGAAAATGATCGTCTTCTGCTTTCCATTTCTGCCCATACTTACTTACTTTATTCCTTGCTGGGCAAGCAATTAGGCAGTTGCAAAGGGAGGGAAATAATTAAACATGTGTCTTTCCATTCGTTCCTGAGGCCAGGTTCCCATTAACTCTCATATCCCAGTTTGCTGAGCTGCATCATGAGTGACCCTCGTTTCCACTTTCCTTGAACTGGTCCTGCCACCTCCACTGTTGTTAGGACTGGGTAAAAGGGAAGTGCTGCAAGACTCTGACTCACAGGGGACCTTTGGGAAGTGTCACTTCTTTCCTGCTCAGTTAGAAACTCCCGTGTTGACAAAAGCCCATTTCTGCATATTAAATACTTATATTCTGACTGTAAAAATCCCTGTTATGAGCAAACAATGCAAGAAGTTTGATTGCCCCACAATTTTCCCAGACTGGGAGGAGGGAATGGAATTGAATAAAGTTTTTTTGCAGTAAGGAAGATTGCTAAAGTATGCAGATGTAAAAAGTGGGTAACCGTGATCCAAGCCAGCCGACAGGCGGACCTGAAGTAAAGCCTCACATCCGCACGGTGGCACACCCCCCAATCCACTGATTGAGAAGGCAGGGAGGCCCAGCCAGGTGTCCCCAGGCCTGCAGCCTTCTAAGAAGGCAGTGGGTAATGCAGACCATGACCAAATATGGCAAGGCCCCACTGACAGACACTTCCATGTGTGAGTCACTGAGAAAAATCCCTCTGCTACTCCCACGTTGTACCATCGCCCCAGGGCTCAGAACCACTGTAGTCTTGCTTCCACAACAGGAATTTAAACAAAAACTTGTCTTCCTTAAAATGACAGACCAGAAACACAAGTTTGAGAAAAGGTCATTGCAACAAAAAAAAAAAAAAAGAAAAGAAAAGCTGTGTGGGTCAGAAGGTGAAGGATGACCCAGAGATAGAGGGAACCTGCAGGAAATTCCTTGGGCTGAGCAGAGAGCAGTCTTGGGAAAAGGAAATAAGGGAGGCTGCTACGGGATCTACTTTATTAGTTAGGGCTCCAGGACTTCGGACAAAGGGTGATTCACCTTCGGAGTAAACCTTGGTGACAGTGAATATAAAAAGCTAAAGGGTGGGGACAGATGTGCCTGGAAGGCAGCAGATTAGCAGGTAGCTTCCCAAACTGGCAGGGCCACAGGCAGCAGCTGAAGAGCTTTTATTTTTATAGCTCCCCCAGTGCCTGTTCTGAGGTTCATTTCATTGTGTCTTTGTGCTTTTTTTTCTCCCTTCCTCCTTTGAACAAACAGAACAGAACAAACATGACCTATGAGAAAATGTCCAGAGCCCTGCGCCACTACTACAAACTAAACATTATCAGGAAGGAGCCAGGACAAAGGCTTTTGTTCAGGTAGCACTTCCTTTTTCTCCTTTCCTTCTTTTGGGAGGATGCTGTTTTCTTTAAATAACGGGGAGTGGGCAGGGGTGGGGGACTGTTAAGATCTCTACCTGCCTATCTGATTCTCAAAGCCATCATTGCTACAAACTGGATACCAAATACTGGTTTGTTAGGATTTAAGGAAAATATTTTTTTTAACTTATGCCCGTCCCCGTAATAAAGCCAAAACTAAATGAACAGAATCTGACTCACCTTTAAAATAACGCAGTGACCAAATAATATTCTGCGGCATTCAACTCCGGTTTAGTTAAAAGCACAAAGTCAATGGCAAACAAGGAATGAAACCGGGACTTCCAGGTTACCAACCCTGTAAGGCAACTTTCTAAACCAGTATTTGTCAAAATGCAGGCAATGACCCACCGTGAGTCATGAAACAGATTGAATGGGTCCATCACAGCTTTTTTTAAATGAAGTAAGAATAGGATAGGATAGAGCTGAGAATACCAAACTGCATCACATGTAGCAAGAATGACAGTTGATTCATGAAAATGTTGTTCTAGGTGTGTATGTACACAGTGAGTCGTGATGGGAAATGTATTTCTTATAATACATTGTAGTCAGAAAAGTCTAAAAAGCTGCTGCAGTTGAATTCTTCTTTCCAGAATTCCTCATAGCTAATGAGTTTCAACCAGTTAGCCTGCCACATAGATTGTGATGCCAAGTCCTATGGGGGAGAGGAGAAGGAATTAGAAGGGGGTGGGGATCTGAAGGACCAATCAGGAGAGGCAGAATTAGTCCTCTGGCGCTGGTAGCAGTCATGAGTGGGGCCAAGTGCAGGTTGGTAGAAGTGAGATCAACAAATACAACCTTGGGGGATGGGTTTTGGCAGGTGGGACAGAAGAGAGTGACAGGCAGGGCTAGAGCGGTAGATGTGGAATTATCTATATACAGGTAGGACATGATACCATGTGTGAGCTGATGAGCTCACTCGTGATTAATTTATTGGAAAATGCGGAGAACCTGGTCTTTAGCATTGGGAAGGAATGGTAACTTAGGAATAGTAAAAGCAATTGAGATTTTCAAAAGAAACGGGAAAGGCTATTTAAGGAAGGGAAACAGAATAGAAGGAATAAAAAAAGAACCTTCCCTTCTCTGGCTCTACTGATGCCTTTTCTTCATCCTTCAACCTAAACTCAGTTCTTGACTCCCTTTCTTCCCACTCTATACCTTTTTTGTGGATGAACTGATCCCAACACACAACTTCATTTATCACTTCAGCGGCTGGGCTCTTAAATCTCTATATCCAGCTCTAAAATCTCCCTGAAATTCTAAATGTGAAAGTCCAAGAGCTTCTTGTAGGGTGTGTCCCCTTAAATATCACATTTAAGTATTTCAGATATGACACCTTCAAACGAGACCCTCGTCTCAGAAATTCCACCCAGAGGCCGGGCGCGGTGGTTCACGCCTGTAATCCCAGCAGTTTGGGGGCCGAGGTGGGCAGATACCAGGTCAAGAGATCAAGGCCATCCTGGCCAACATGGTGAAACCCCATCTCTACTAAAAATACAAAAAGTAGCTGGGCATGGTGGCACGAGCCTGTAGTCCCAGCTAGGCAGGAGAGGCTGAGGCAGGAGAATCACTTGAACCTAAGAGGTGGAGGTTGCAGTTACCTGAGATCACGCCACTGCACTTCAGCCTGGTGACAAGAGCAAGACTCCATCTCAAAAAAAAAAAGGAAATTCCACCCAGAATTCTTGAATTTTGATTACTCATCTGGGGCATCGCTGCTGTTTGAAGCGACCAACTTTGAAACTAGAGTTACCTTTGACTCTTCCTGTATCCCGGTCATTGTGCTAGATTGGCTATTGGCTCTTCAGCACCGTTCCCACTCTATTCTGTGTTGCAGGGGCTGGAAGCTTGGGACCTACATTTCCAAGGGCTTGTTGCCAGAAGGTCCCAGGTTTGGAGTCTTTCAATGACAAGCAGTTTCATGAGACCTGGGAGATGAGAAAAAGGCAAAGGCTTCCCTGACAATGGAAGCTGATGCCTGGACTTCATGATTCACATCTGGATTGACTCAACAATCTGTATCTCTGGTCCACTTCCCTGCCTCCTGAAACCATAATACAAACTGCCAGTTGCCATAAACACTAATATGATTCCCTGTGCCAGAAATGTATATGACTTTAACTTTTGCCTTTTTAATACCTACACCCTCAAGGCTCAACCTCAAGTCTATTGCCCTGAATGAGGCCTTCTTCAGCTGCTCCAACCACACCTAGCTGTCTTCTTCCATCATCACTTGGGTTCCCTTGGGCCCTTAACTACACTATGATTTGCATTTCTTTTTTTTTTTTTTTTTTTTTTTTTTTTTTTTTTTTTTTTTTTTTTTGAGACAGAGTCTTGCTCCTCTGTCACCCAGCCTACAAGCGCAGTGGCACGATCTCAACTCACTGCAACCTCCACCTCCTGGATTCAAGCAATTCTCATAATTATCATGACTCAGCCTCCCTAGTAGCTGGGATTACAGGTGCCCACACCATGCCCAGCTAATTTTTGTATTTGTAGTGGAGACACGGTTGCGCCATGTTGGCCAGGCTGGTCTCAAACTCCTGTCTTCAAGTGATCTGCCCATCTTGGCCTCCCAAAGTGCTTGGATTACAGGTGTGAGCCACCATGCCTGGCCAGTTTGTTTTTCTAGAGACAGGGTCTTTCTCTGTTGCCCAGGCGGGAGTGCAGTGGTGTGACCATAGCCACTGCATTCTCAAACTCTGTGCTCAAGCAGTCCTTCTGCCTCAGCATCCTGAATAGCTAGGACTACAGGATTTCTGTTTTTAATACAGGTTGAGTATCCCTTATCTGGAATGCTTGGGACCAGAATTGTTTCCAATTTTCGGTTAGGGATGCTCAGCCTGTGTGAAGTCCTTCTCCTCTACAACTAGACTGTAAGCTCCTAGAAGGTAGAGGATTCTACTTTTTATCATTCTGTGTTACACCTTTCAGTAAATGTTTGTTGACAGCCTGATGTGGAATTCAGAAGCTTAATATGGGAAAGTCGTCAAAAGAAGAAAGGGATGTTTTGGGGGTGGGGGGCAAGCACAGCATATCTGTGGAGTTGGCTTAGAGGGACTCCTTATTGACTTCAGATGTGGAGGGAGAAATTTTAGTTAGGGGATAAAAGAGGAGAAACTGCAGATGCTACAGATCATACTGCCGGAGAAGTTTGGCAGTAATGAGCAGGAAAAAACAGTAAGTAGCCAGAAGATTGATAGGCTTACAATAAAAGATTTTCAGTAAGAGAAAGG